CTCGATTTAAAACCGCTGCCTGTGATTTTACCAATGGAAGATTTGGGGAATTTAAAAAGTCTTTATAGTGATTTCTCTTTTATGTTCCTTAACCTTCCATCTCCCTCAATCTTCACACAAAACCTGATTCCTTCTGATTTTATTCACCCGTTTTATTGAACTGTCAATTGAGGAATTTCATGGGCAAAACAGAATCTTGCATAGGATTTGGGCATCATTTCATCTCTTAATGATTTACACAATACAAAAATAAAATTATTGAGTGGAAATTTGAACTTATATTTTTATGTGTCACTTTAACCTTTATTATTATTAACATTAAAGTACCATTTTGATGTTTTCCATGATAACATATTTGAACTTTTTGGGGTGTTTTCTCATGTTACTGCAATCATCTTTTTAACAATAATGAAACTAACTTGTTAATATGGATCTTACAGACAAAGAAGATGCTCAGAAGAGGTCTGTGAATAAGAGAGAATGAGAAGCAGAGTTAAAACAAAAACAAAAAAAATCAAAAAATTTTCCAACATTTACTTTCTTGCAGAAAGTATAAAAACTCTTCTCTTTCCTCAGAAGATGAGAAACAAGGAAAAGAGTAACAAGAATTAAATTTTGCGCTGGAAACAATTGTATGTGGGACACAAGGAAAGATCACATGAAAATTCAAAGGGGATAATTTCTAAATTCAGAAAAAGTGGAAATAACTGGAAGTCAGTGGGGAGGAAAAATTCAGTCGGATAGCCAAAATGGGACAGCATTAATGAAAGTATTTGAGAAAGGAAAAAATGGAGAGAACGCCTACTAGTGCTCCCAGTGTGGCAAAAGCTTTAGAACGCCAGCCCACTCTGGTGAGACACAAGAGGATTCACACTGGAGAGAAATCATATGAGTGTCTGTATTGTGGGAAACTTTTCACTAAGAAAGCAAATTTAGTGAAACACCAGAGGACTCACACAGGAGAGAAACCATATGAGTGTCTGGATTGTGGGAAACTTTTCACTCAGAAAGCAAACCTAGTGAAACACCAGAGGACTCACATGGGAGAGAAACCATATGAGTGTCTGGATTGTGGGAAAAGTTTCACTCAGAATGCCAGCCTGGTGATACACCAGAGGACTCACACTGGAGAGAAACCGTATGAGTGTCCAGATTGTGGGAAAAGTTTTACTCAGAATTCTAACCTTGTGATACACCAGAGGATTCACACAGGAGAGAAACCGTATGAGTGCCTGTATTGTGGGAAAAGTTTCAGTCGAAATTCCCACCTGGTGGGACACCAGAGCACTCACTTAGGAGAGAAACCGTATGAGTGCCTGGATTGTGGGAAAAGTTTTAGTCGAAATTCGCAACTGGTGGAACACCAGAGAACTCACACAGGAGAGAAACGATATAAGTGTCTTGATTGTGGGAAAGGTTTCTTTTGGAATTCTAAACTGGTAGTACACCAGAGAACTCACACAGGTAACAAACCATATGCATGTCTGGACTGTGGTAAAAGTTTCAGTTGGAATTCGAACCTAGTGAAACACCAGAGGACCCACACAGGAGAAAAGCCATATGAATGTCTGAATTGTGGCAAATGTTTCAGTCACAATTCCTCCCTGTTGAAACACCAGAGAACTCACATGAGAGAGAAATCCTATGAGTGTTCAGATTGTGAGAAAGGTTCAAGTTGCAATTCCCATCTGATGGTACAAGAGAGCATTCTCACAGGAGTAAAAACAAATGAGGGCCTGGATTGCGGGGAAAATTTCAGTTGTAATTCTGACCTGGTGAAACATCAGAAGGCTCACACGAGAGAGAAATCATATGTATGTCTGGATTGTGGCAAAAGTTTCAGTCAGAATTGCTATCTGGTTATACACAAGAGGACTCACACGGGAGAGAAACCACATAAGTGTCCAGATTGTAGGAAAAGTTTCAATTGGAATTCTGAACTTGTGGTACACCAGAGGATTCACACAGGAGAGAAACCATATAAGTGTCCTGATTGTGGGAAAGGTTTCAATCGAAATTCTAACCTGGTGGTACATCAGAGAACTCACACGGGGGACAAACAGTACCAGTGCCCAGATTGTTGTAAAAGTTTCGCTCAGAATTCCTACTTGGTGAAACACCAGAGAATTCACACAGGAGAAAAACGATATGAGTGTCTCTGTTGTGGGAAAAGTTTTATTCAGAATTCTGACTTAGAGATACATCAGAGGACTCACACAGGAGAAAAAAAACATCAGTGTCCATTTTGCTGGAAAAGTTTCCTTCGTAAGTCCGGGTTGATGATACACCAGAGGAATCACACTGGAGAAAAACCATATGCGTGTCCTGAATGTGGGAAATGTTTCATAAGGAATTCCAGTTTGGTGATACATCAGAGGACTCACATAGGAGAGAAACCGTATGAGTGTCCAGTTTGTGGGAAAGATTTTGGGACTAGATCTAGCCTTATAAATCATGTAAGGTTACACACAGGGGAGAAACCATTCAAGTGCCCAGATTGTGGAAAGTGTTTCACCCAGAATTCAAATTTTTTCATACACAAAAAATCACACTGCCAAAATTTGATGCATTAATTTCTTGCTTGATTCTTTGTTGTCAAATGTGTCATAGTATCAAAATATGAGGGAGGTGATGTGAGTTTCCTTTCTCTGGCCCAGTGCTGTAGTTTCCTTTCATGGAGTCAAGGGGAACTGCTGGGCAGAGAAAGTAAGATTTGATCTGTATGAGGTGTATTTACAACCTTGAGGTATTTGTACATATCATAAAGTGGGATATAAACATGTATACTATATTATGTGTGTATCTATCTAAAAAAATACATCACAGCCCAACTCCTATTGACTTTGGGCAGCTTGCATCAATAAAAACCTAATACAGAAATCAATAAACTCCACAAATTGCTAATGGTAAAATGCAAAGCCACCACATCTAACATGTACTTGCCCTTCAAGTACAGGTAATGCTTCCATCACTTTCATATGTTATGAAAGTAATGGAACCTGCCCATTCCATTTGTAACCCAATTCGTAGGAGTGAATCTCGTACCTTGAGTGAGATCACACCCTGCTTTCGCCCAGGCATTGGCTAATTGAATACTCTGTTCAGGGCACATGAGGTATCTCAGGGTGGAGAAGGTGACTGGGACGGGAGGCTAATGATGGAACAAGCCCCCAAGCCAGAGGTGGCATTCAGCAGGTTCTGACCATTTCTGGTGAACCGGTAGCAGAAATTTTGAGTAGTTCAGAGAACCGGTAAATACCATCTCTGACTGGCCCTGCCCCCATCTATTCTCTGCCTCCCAAGTTCCAGCTGATCGGAAGGAAATGGGAACTTTGCAATATCCTTCCCCTAGAGTGGGGTACGGAGGAAATGGAGATTTTACAGTATCCTTCCCCTGCCATGCTCACCAAGCAACACTCACAGAACTGGTAGCAAATTTTTTTGAATCCCATCACTGCCCCAAACCCTCCCCACCTGACTAAGATTCCTCATGCTTCCCCCTTCCTGCCACGTCAGACTCACTGCAAAGATCTGTCTCCTCTCCGCCCTGGTTTATTTGCCCTTGAGAGAGAGGCGAGTAGATGGAAGCTCCTGAGCATGAAAAGTGTTTGTGGTGGGTGCCTATCTCCTGCTCCTCCCCCCTCCCCCAACTCCTTTCCACCATCACCGGAACACTTTTAACCCCACAGAGAACTGAGGGAGATTGGAAGCTTCATCTGCATGCAAATGGGGCATTTGAAAAAGGAGCTTCCAGTCTCTGTCGGGTCTCTGTTTGGGTGAAAAGTGTCCCAGTGTTCGTGGAAAGTGTTTTTTTTGGGGGGGGGAGGGGAACAGGAGACGAGCACCAGAAACACTTTTCGTGTGGAGAATGGAAGTTTCAGTGGTTAGAATGCGATATTGCCAGCTGACTCTGCCCACAACCTGGAATTCGATCCAGAGGGGGCTCAAGGTTGACTAAGCTTTCCATCCTTCTCAGATTGGTAAAATGAGGACCCATATTGTTGGGGGCAGTATGTTGATTCTGTAAACTCAGAGTGGTATGAAGCACTGTGTGGTGATATACAATTCTAAGTGCTATTTCTATAATAAAAGAAATAGCTTTAAAGGGGACTAGCATCTTCAATTGCACCTTAAAGAAATGAATCCACTGCAGCTCGCACCACAGAGATGTTACATGGGCAACCTAGGGCCCCCCATTATTGTTTCCGCTTCTGCGTTCTGGACCATTCAAAGTTTCTGGATGGTCCTGTGATGTGATCCAAACTGGAGGTGACCAAGGCATGAGCGACCCGCGTGCAAGGCCCAATAAGAATAGAATAACTTTTATCACTTTGAAGGCACACTAATTGGCACACATTAAAATGAAATTTTATTGCAATTGGTACACCAGATGAATCTGCAAAGCCAATCCAGGAGGACCCCCAGGTTGTGCACCAGCTCAGTTCCAAAACGTGACTGCATGACCCCAGGTCACTGAATCTGTCCCAAATATGAGTCAATTGCCAAGCATCTTAGTTTTGATCCTCTGACCATGGGGATGTCGCCATGGTGGCAAGTGTGAAATATGGTCATAATAAAGTTACTTTTTTCAGTGTCGTTGTAACGTCAAATGCTTTGTAAATGAAATGTTATAAGTCCAGGACTATCTGTATATAATTGGATATGTGAAAAAGCAACACCAACAGGCTTGAGCTTGAGGGCATCCCAAATTTCAGGGCCAAGACTTGGCCTCTTCTACCCACACTGAAACCAGCCATGGAGGCAGAAGTAGAACTACAGTATTAAAGCTCCTCCCATTTCCTGTCTCCAAAGCCTGTCATGGAGGATGTCATGGTCATTGTTATTGGAAACAGATGATGAGAGGTCTAGGAGAGACAGCATGATTGTACCCCTCCTACCTTAAACCTAGCAACAGTCCATGAGAATTGCAGCCAATACCGTTTTGGTAATGTGCCCCAGTCTGAAGCCAGACTGAGAAGGGCCCAGTGTCTTTCCTCCTGCATAGCCCTTTCTCCGGGTGGCAAAGGCAGAGCTGCAAGCAGAGGGTGAGTTGAAGTCCCAGGCTGCCAACCTTTCCTTGCCCTCTTCAGTTGAACTTATAAGTGATCTTAATCTGCAGCAATGCCTTGAACTGCTCTGCCAGGAAAATCTCTCATGGTTTTCTTAAGCATTACAAACTGCTGTTGGAGGCATAAAGCGGGCCAGGATCCTAACTGTCCAGAAGGGAGGGGAAATACTCTTCCAGCCTCTCCTGAGCGTGGAAAATAAATATGAATAGTTCTCGGGTTGTGACAGGAATTGGTGCCAGAATTTCCATTGCTAAGCAGGGGTGGGGCACCAATAAGAATTACCCAGCTTGTTAGCTAAAAATGGAAATGAATGAAAATAAAACCACAGAGACAAGAAGTCAAGCTTCGTTCTTACAGCTTTATCAAGTTACAGAGGGACGTTCTGAGGAGTTATCCTGCACACCACCTAGAGGAAAAAGTGGCTGGAACCAAGGGAGGTGCACTTTCTCCCTTCCTATTTGTACGTCATTTGTAGCCCACCCACCCACCGCCAAAATGGATCTTTCCTTCTGTTTAATTGCCGTTTCTGGCAAAAGAAGCTTCGGGCTCAGCTCCAAGGACAATGCCCCCTCGGGAGACCTGGAAGGAAAGGTTTGGGGATGGAGCCTCAGGGAGAAAAGCTATCGATCAGCTTAACGGGAGTCGAATAGGACTTGATGGTCCACACAAGGAAGCACCGAATCAATGAGAACACCTTCAAATGCCTTAGAGTAGAACCAGCATGTTCTTCCGCCATATGTCGCTAGATGGCGCACCACTCGCGGCCAGGAATAAGGTACGGTACAGCGGCGGCAGAAGTATTCTAGGAAACCAGAGGGGGCTAGGCTGGGCTGGGCTGGGCTGGAACGGGTTGATATGATAGAGTATTGTATTCCTAGGGAGTTTATTGATCCGCCCAGGATCCGTATTCCTAGAGAAGACGTGGAGGAGGGGAGGCGAAAGGCAGAGGAACTTCCTCTTCCGGCTCACGGGAGTGTTTTGGTGTCGGCGGAGCCTCTTGTGCTGTTTGGAGGGTCGAAGCGGCTCCTGGGAGGTGAGTGGAGGGAAGGTGGGAGGAGAAGCAGGGAGCAAGTCGGGCCCTTTGGCTTCCTCCACGGCCTTAACGTGGCTGCTGTTCTGTATCTTCTTCCCCTCCCCAAATTTTATTCCTCTGGGGCTGCGCGATTTAAAACTGCTGCCTGTGATTTTCTGCTGGGAAGTGGCAGATTTCAAGAAATCTTCA